GGAACGTAATTAGATTTGAAATCATGTATTGAGGATATATGATTCGAGAATAACTCGGTAGTAACTATCTACAGTCTATAGATAATCAATATATTTAACAAGATGGGTATACGGACACATCATGTTATAACATCGGTTCACGTACGATTACTGAAGTTAAGCAACGTCGAGCCTGGTCAGAATCTGCGACTGCTTGGGAACATCAGTCTTGGAAATGCAGGTGGTGTAATGGATAATGGCTAGTTAATCGTAAAACCGAATTCCAATTACCTGTGGATTCGTTATATTCCCACATTTGCAAATATCATTGGGAAATGTATTTTCCTCCAGCTTTGGGTTAATAAGTAATGCTTGTATCATTAAACTATTATCATTTAAAAAGATTCATGAAATCTAAAATATTTACTAGCATTAAATAACCTTTAAGGCTTTGATTGAACCGTAAAAAAACGAATGAGTGAAATCAAACCTAACGGAGTATGTTGAGCAAATTGTCCTAAATTGACGTTTAGGATGTTGACCCACTTGAAATAGGTAATATGTCCTCCATTAAGGTGGATTCGCGAATATAAAAAAAAATGGTATACATATCTTATTTGTTTTAATCCAAATCAAGCTAAGCTAGGCAGTAATGGCACTAAAACACAAGTGATTACAGTGTGTGGAAGAATTACGAACAGAAACGTAAATGATTATCAGAAATATGAGAGAGCAACCAGGTGGACAGTAGATAGCGATTGACATTGCGTTTAAATTTTTGCAGATTAAAGTTGGCTGGAAAGCAAGAAGCCGGAAGAGACTATGACAAGCGAGAAGCAGCAGAGAAGAAGCTGTTTGCATCCAATTCATGGTTGCATCTTGACAGCTTAATTGTAAATCTCTGAAATCTAGTGCTACGCTTAAATTCAAAAACTCTAGATACCATAGCGAAGAACTCATACGGACAATTACCATGGAAGTTTATATAGAAAAGACATAGAAAGGCAAACCTATGACGTTGGGAAAGTGACTGGAACTGAGCCGCCAGATCAGTACCAATAATAATGCAGATTCTTATTTCGATCTTATCAAGGATCTCAAGGTAAATCGCAGGGACATCTATAAAGCGATATCGTGGAACCGTATTTACCAAACTGCTTGACAAACCGTTTTTAGTTTAATTTTGTCCTTTATAAATGATTGGTTATTTACATCAGACAAACTAACTTTTAGTAAATATTGTTATTATTAGTATACATATGAACTTTTCCAGGATTCTTAAAATTGTTATTTAGACTTGATTAAGTCTTCCGTACAAGTAAGAGTGTTACAAAGAGGCGACTTGACCAAGATTACTCTGCTGATGTTTAAAAATAGTAAAAAGCTTGTTAAGTCTATGTATTGACAGTTTTACTTTTCGAATAAAGACAATATGATAAATTCGTCTATGTTGTCAGCTTAATAGGTATCTTCAGCAATGTAGATATCATCAATGTCCACAATGTCATTTCAGCCATCATCTTCAAAATATCTGTCATCTTAACTGACATCCATTGCGCTCGTTATGCAATATGACATGTATGTCCTTGCCGCGGCCGTTACCGAAAATAATTCTAAAAGACTTCCAGTATATTTGTACAAGAAATGCCAAACAAAAAAAAAAAACAAACCTTTCCATGTAAGAATTTCATTTAGAATATTGATCTACTCTGGGAAAGAGGATTGTAGTAGTGGGCGTTATTTGCTTCTGTTAGAGACTGGTTATGCTTGTCGCGAATATCAAAGATTTTAATGCTGGCGACCGGGCCTTGCAGAACGTTATTCAGTCCGCCAGTTGAGTTTCAAATTAGAATATAAACTCTTTAACTTAAGTTTCAGGCAAGACGAACGGGATATAATGTCATATATTTAATAAAATTAATTTAGACATTAGTGCGACTTATTGAAAAAAAATGATGCTCATGATTAAACTTATTTTAGACTTCAGTGCGACTTATTCAAATTGTCAATGCTTTTTATTAAACTTAATTTAGACTTCAGAGCGTCTTATTTAAAAAGTCAATAACTATTATACATGGATGTCTATTCCAGAATATTGTAGCACAAAATATAGGTAGGCATATTATACAAAAGTAATTAGCGTATCTCTGAACGTTTATTTTAGAGCTACGAGAAATAGGCTTTGGCTGCAACGAACAATATTGATTTCTATTTCTGTTCATCGTAATATTATTCAATTACTTATTAGGTAACACTCAGCATTCATGTCATCAGCCATTGTTACTTTCGGTTACATTTTATAAATTACTTTATCGTGAATGAATTTAATATGAAAATTGGTACCTCATGTCAAGTAACTATTATTGCACTTTACATTATATACTGGGGTCTCCTACCTAATCTTTAGTTTTTGGCAGAATGGAAGGTCAATATCTATATGATATTATTATTATTATTATTATTACCAATTACATACGATATTATTTTTGTTTATTGATTTATTTCTTTTCTACGGTTTATCAACTCTTTCCAGGTTATTTAAAGTCGTCAGTTTTTCTTACTTGTGAGGGTATTTTGGAAGATTATAATGAATGTCTTCCTAATTAATTCACAGCTCAAGGGATTTACATCTTTCTCAGTACTGAATATAATGAAGTGAATGGGAAATGGAACTCGATATTCCGATTAATAATTCCGAGTCATTATTCCTCCTACCACACCGCACATCCAAGCTCACAGCACCTTGTATTCCCAAGCGTTCACTCATCTAGGTGTTGATCATACTCCATTTAGGTTATCTTCGGTGTTCGGACGGAAACAGTTTTTCAATGTGATGTGTCCGTAAGCCGATATTTTTTAGCTGCTGCTCCTGTTGGTAATTCTCTGGCGATGTGCTCACTGCTATTTGGTAAAATTCTTGGTTTAAGAATCTGTATCGCAAGTCCAAATAGTTTGAAGAAAGATGTTCTTTGAGCAGACAAAGCGGAAATCAGAACGTTACGCTCTGATTAGAATTTCTACGCCGATATCTGCTATTTTATGACCACATACGTTTACATTCACTAAGGATTGAAAAAGTACATGATACTTTTAGAAAAGGATCGCTAGTCTACGTTGCAATGTCTACATTTCTATATATTTACAAAGGTTTAAAACTTTTATCACTGATTATAATTCTTTTGTTATAAAATCACGTGCTTCCACTGGGGATATTTAGATTTGTGTGGACAAAGCATGTGGCGAATGTAGAATTTCTGAGGAGAGGAATTATGAATATTTTTTAATATTTAAAAAAAAGAAAACGATACTGAACAGCTACGTGATATCTTTCCACTTTTACGGTAGCGAATTTTGGGAGGTCTCTTCAAAGATGAAGAAGAGACTCTAGGCAACGGTGGAATGTTTCAACAGAAGGATGCTACGGATATCGTAGACCGAGCGTGTAAGCAACGATGAGGTTTTGGAAAGGATGCATACAAGGAGGAATCTTATACTTAACATCAGGAAGAGGCAGCTGAAATTACTGGGACACGTTAAGTGAAAGGAGGGCTTAGAGATTCTTAGAATAGTTGGAAAGACAGAAAAGGGAAAGAAATGCCTGTCATCCCTAGTGGGATTAAGCCAGTGGATAATAGAACAGGTTCTTGGAGGAGTAGCAAAGGGACAAAACAAATTCGGAGATACAAGCGATAAGGGGAAGTGGAGATCCATGATCGCCCACTTCATGAAAGAACACGACACATAAAAAAAGAAAACTTGCTATTTATAGGGTTCATAATGAAGAAAAAATATTCGGAGAATTTTAATATCAATGAAGTCCTCAGACATTAAAACGAAGAAAAGCAGCGAAACAACTGAACCAATTAAGACGAGAATCAAGAGCAGTGTCTGCAGCGTGGTATATAGCAGACGCATGTGTTTAGTAGAAGTGTTTATTTTTATTTTTCTAAATGCATTTTGGTCTAAAGTCCAGTTTTTCGAGAGGCTTTAATAAAAGTTGCTTTTTACCGGGCCATATTCAAGTTTCGCTTACATCAAATAAATGGAAGATCGAACCCTCCTAAATAGGACAGTTTCTTTTAAAAATAAAAAAAATAAATAAATAAACTCAAAATTAACAACTGACCGAATAGATAGGAATTTAATATCAGCTAATAATAGAAAAATATTGATGGTACATTTGTGAACATACTCCCCATGTACCATAGAGGGAAAGCAAGTTGACAAGGCTGCTGAAAGATTCTTTAGGTGGTAAAACAAAAACTTCTATAAGTACTACCATTTAGCCAGCAGCATGTAACCTTGACGTAACTTTGAGCACTTTGGATTATGCCCATAGCGCCAAAAACATTCAGAATCGCCCTGAAATTAATCAAAAACTTACAAAGAAAGCACTTTTGAAGGAGTACACCAATGAAATTGAAGCTCTGAATAAAGATCTTGCTGCTGCCCTTGATAAAAATGGTTCTACTTTGGACTATCGCCGTGGTACAAGGAACCGGACCATAACAATTTCTTACTGGGCGCAACAGTGAACAGGCAATCGAGGAGAGTCATGATCCCCTATGCCTTGGTGCGACAGAAAAAAAAACTGATTGTTCAAAAAATATATTTTAAAGAATCTCATTCTATGAATTTTAATACGAATGAAGACAGTTCAAATATAAAGGGGAGGCGTAAAATTCTTCGACACTGCTTTGAAACAACGCCAGGAAAAAGTGATACAATTTACGTAATTGTCCACGACATATTATTTTTGAGGAAGTATAGCTTCATGTCTCCGATGATAAAACTTTTTGAATGGTAGGGAATATAAAACAATATTAATAAAAATTTGTGCTTCACACAGATAAATAAAGGACGCTCGCACCTGTCACAATTTATATGTTTATCTGTAGAAAAATCATTCCAATCCACCTTCTTGAAAAGGTGTGGCGAATAATAGTGATGCAACCATAATGCTAAAAATGAAATGACACATCGCCGCCACAAGTTTACTGTTACTGTCAATTTTGAATAAAATGAGGAATTATTGTAAAACAGTGATTGGAGATGAGTCACATATAGCGAAATATCTATCTATCTATCTATCTATCTATCTATCTATCTATCTATCTATCTATGTATCTAAGTTTGTCAATTTCCTTCCATCCTCTCTTTTTTTCTATCTATCTATCTATCTATCTATCTTACCCTTTTTTTTTTTTTATTCATATCTATCTATCTATCTATCTATCTATCTATCTATCTATATTTATCTATCTATCTATATCCACTGCTTTCTTTTTTCTCTTTTTATTCATATCTATCTATCTATCTATCTATCTATCTATCTATCTATCTATCTATCTATCTATCTAAGTTTGTCCATTGCCTTCCATCCTCTCTTTTTTCTTCTTATCTATCTATCTATCTATCTATCTATCTATCTATCTATCTATCTATCTATCCATCTATCTATCTATGTCCATGCCTTATTCTTTATCTTTTTATCTATCTATCTATCTATCTATCTATCTATCTATCTATCTATCTATCTATTTCCATTGCCTTCCACCTTTTTCTTTTTCTTCATATCTATCTATCTATCTATCTATCTATCTATCTATCTATCTATCTATCTATCTATCTATCTATCTAAGTTTGTCCATTGCCTTCCATCCTCTCTTTTTTCTTCCTATCTATCTATCTATCTATCTATCTATCTATCTATCTATCTATCTATCTATCTATGTCCACTGCCTTCCTACCTTTCTTTTTTTATTCATATCTATCTATCTATCTATCTATCTATCTATCTATCTATCTATCTATCTATGTCCACTGCCTTCCTACCTTTCTCTTTTTATTCATATCTATCTATCTATCTATCTATCTATCTATCTATCTATCTATCTATCTATCTATCTATGTCCATTGCCTTCCACCTTTCTTTTTTTATTCATATCTATCTATCTATCTATCTATCTATCTATCTATCTATCTATCTATCTATCTATCTATCTAAGTTTGCCCATTGCCTTCCATCTTTTCTTTTTCTCTTCCTATCTATCTATTTAAGTTTGTCCATCTATCTATCCATCTATCTCTTTTTCTTCCTATCTATCTATTTCTTTATTTATTCATATCTATCTATCTATCTATCTATCTATCCTTTCTATTTTCTATCTATCTATCTATTTATCCATCTATCTATCTTTTCTTTCTATCTATGTCCATTCATCTTCCATCTATCTATTTATCTTCCTATCTATCTATCTATCTATCTATCTATCTAAGTTTGTCCATTGCCTTCCATCCTTTCTTTTTTTTATTCATATCTATCTATCTATCTATCTATCTATCTATCTATCTATCTATCTATCTATCACTCTGTCACAGTTCCTTGTCTTCCTGACTGTTTATCTGTCTATCTATGTATATATCTATCTATCTATATATCTATTTTTCACAAAGAGTGAAGAAACCGCTCGTCTATTGATTAATATATATTTATACAGGGCTGTCTTCAGCAGGTACCATTGGCTAAGCACTTAACAGTACGTGCTATATTGGTGTGTCGGGGTAGGAGCTTTGCTCTGCAGCTTCCTATATCGTGCCAAGCTCAGTTTGTTCTCTACAGTGTTCGTAATTTCTCGTGACTGTACTCTATTCTGAACAGCCTCAGCTCAAGTTCATCTATGTTTACCGGAGGTTACATTTCAGAACATCTTGATAATATAGCCGATGGCTGTTCTGTTTAGGATACCGCAAGACAATTGACCTTAAATGATGTCCCATCGTGCATAGATACTCGGGGTAAGAAAGGAGAGACAGAGGAAGACGACAGGAAATAAAAAAAAGATTGTATGATGTTAAAGATATTAGAATGAAAGCAAACAAAAAATAGATCGTTCAACATAACATTTATGTAATTAGAAAAAAAACACAAATGATAAAGTTTGTAATAATGCATAAAAAATTTAAAAAAATAATAGCAATAGATAAATCGTGTTTTTTTGGAAATATGCCTGATCATTCTTGTTATGGGTAATGTTAGGAGTTTCCTTATAAGGAAACATACGGCATACGTTTACCAAGAAGATTGCTATAATGTCGGGTGAAATTTTAAAAACTTCCGCTGAAAATATTTTTTCCAAGAAAATAGGTTTCTCAAGTTCAGTAGTTATTATCACGTTTTCCAGATTGAAAAGAGTTTCCTTCCTAACCATTTATTTGAACAGGAGTGCAATGCAAAAATATTCGTAATGTGATTATTGTTCTTCCACTTAAATGTGACATCCATTTTAGTTGTAGCTGATGGTGAAAGAACAGAAATGTTGTGTTTTTTTATTTTTTTTTTTTTTTTGTTATTTGTACCGTGCTTCGGTTGTGACTCTGTAGCGATAGTCAACAAGGTTTTAGTATAATGAAGTCTTCATAATTTTAAACATTGATTCAAGAAAGCGTTTATATGTAGCTGACTTTAACACATTGGTCAAAGATATATATATATATATATATATATATATATATGTGTGTGTGTGTGTGTGTGTGTGTGTGTGTGTGTGTGTGTGTGTGTGAAACTACTCTCTCACTTGCCACACCTTTAATGAAGTCGGTTGGATCTTTATAATTGATCTCTTTAGCTCTAATCCCTATTTCTGTTTTGACGACATAATTTAGGTTTCCTCCCCAGTGTTCCCTCTTTTTAAACATATTCACCGTTCTTGATGGTTATTGAATAGATTTTAATGACCGAAGCCAGAGAATGAATTTTGGTACCATTACTGAAGACCTGAATGTTCCTTTTCTTTCACAATTTCTCACTTTGTTAGATAATCTTCTGACGCAAAACAATTTTAACCTTCTCTACAGTTAGCCCCAAAAGTGTTTTTCATTGATTCTGTCGACAAATAGTATGAAGATGGTTAAACATCTTATCTAAAAACCTGAGAGAAAGTATATATATATATATATATATATATATATATATATATATATAGCTGACACTTCCTTGACACGTTTGATCATGTCAAATTGTCATAGTAAGTCTAAGTTGCTATTTGAATAAATATGACGCTTTAAACTGGATAATTCTAATTTAAAACTTTGCGCCAACTCTTCATTACGATTTTCACTTTCGGTTTCGGCATCATACATAGCATCTATATGAATGTCTCTTTCTTACGAGACTATTTAATACATCCATTTTCCAGGTTTCGTTTTAGAATTTGTACAAAATTGCTGCATGGACGTACACTTTACCTAGCACATTCTATTCTGTGATCAATTTCTGTGTCTCCTATACTAGGTTTCTAATAACAGATCCATACACAGAAGTATCTGAAGTCTTTACTATTTACTCAATTCATATTTTGAATTTTTCTAATGGTGTCAATGGTTGTTCCTTCGAATAAGCTACAAATCCTAGTGGAAAAATGTTCTTCAAACATTTATGGAATAGTTCGTATACATGTCTGATGAAATGGACGGGATACGCATATGAAGAAAAATACATTGGAAAAGAATAAATATAGGACTAAGTTTAGTACAGCATAGCCAAACGAAGAACCACATGAGAGTGGTGATCTCTTAAACGATATCACGTTTGATGTGTTTTATGCTCATTACTCATATTTCGTGTCCATTTAGAATCTGGGCGTATATAGTTTTCTAGAATTTCTTGCTTCTTGTGGCATTAAACATTATCTGATACTTCACCATCTTCTCTTGACTTTGCTCTGCTATATATTTACGCAAAGAAATGATGTAAGTTATACATTTTTCCCTCTCCATATATATTTTCCTCACTACGTCCGATGAGTCATTAATTATGAAAGCTTTCGTTCTGGACAACAGGAACAGTGCCTCTTTCTGATTTTAGGCATAAGTGTTTGTCGGCTTATTAAGATTCTACAGTAAGAGAATAAAATATTCTATCAGTATTTAATATCGGCGTCAGTAATCCTAAAATCTCTAAACTGATTTGGTAGCATGAACAGAAAGGAAATTATGGGTAGGAAAAGACAACTCAACATCGCCGAAAATTTAGGACGATAAACGTAATTAATACTGTTCAATTAAAAATAAAAGTGCCTTTATGTAACTAAATTGTATCTATTAAAATAACACATATGCAGAAAATATGATAAATAATTGCCGGACCATCCATTTTCTTGTAAATATATAGGTTTCTAATAACAGATCCATACACAAAAGTACCTGAAGTCTTTACTATTTACTCAATTCATATTCCGAATTTTTCTAATGGTGTCAATATATATATATATTGAATCTGGTATACATTGAAATAATTTCTCGCAGCTTGAAACAAATGAAGAACGTCATATGATTGAGTCTATAAAATAATTTTTGGACTTTTTAACAATTTACTTAATCATCACACGAAATATACGAAATTATAAAAGCTTAAAAGATGAATTCAAGTTTGTAATATGAAAAAAAAAACATTAAAAATGAAGTGACAAACACCTAGACAAAAGTTCAACCAACACTCCTCATTCGAGTTCAAAATATTCCAGTAGTTCTTAACGAATATGTCTACATTTCTGAGATAAAGTATTATGTACACTACTTACATTATTTGGACTGTTGCCCTCATATTTATTGCCATACTAGCGTTGCCCGTGCTTGATTCAAAAATCGTATGAATCATACAGCAATCGCTATGATTTGACTTAAATATTTTTGCCCTTTCTTGCCTTTAAAGGAGTTCCCTTTTCTGTGCTGATGTTGCTACATGGCTTACTTCTTGCCTAACTCACACGGCGATTTTTTTCTAAGCTCTATACTAAACATTAAATCTGTTACGAAAAGAGAACTAAACAAAATGAACACAAAACTATCAGCTTTAAAAAAAGACTCGTAACTGGAAAAACTGAATGAAAATAGAATGTTAACAACAGATACTTTTCACACCCAACCCAGTTCTGCGAAATCCGAATCAACGTTGAGTTTAAGCAAGGGAATGAGCAAATTGGAATAAAGTGCTATGCAGATTTAAATTTTTTCCACTTGTGACGAATGCATCTATCGATTTTTTTGCATTCTAGCATGCTAGTTAACATTCGTGTCAGTCACTTGTTGACTCTCACGCTGGCCAGTAGAATCTTCCTGCCTATTCGTGGCAGCCAGCTATAGGCTCTCAATCTGTACATTAGAAAATGACCGCAAACATTATGAAAACTGCCGTAGAAGCATGACAAAATCGATTCTTTCAACTATCGATGTGAGTTAGGAAATGCAACGTCGGTCTTGGCCTTCCCACTAACTTGGAGCATGTGCATGTAAATTTTGGTGCAAATCCGTCAAAAATTTGCGACCGTGCCTTCGTTACACACACAAACACACACGCACACATACATCCTGCCTTTTATAGATAGAGATTTATCACAACATGGTACGTGGAACTGGAACAGTCTATCCCATCGAGCGAAAAAATGGGTTCGGTTCGAAATTTTAACCACCTGAATAAAGCCGGAGCGTATAACGGCGGAAACGTTGTCATAAATATGGCAACAAAGATGTGTGCAATAGACTGAATAATGTAAATAGAATTCTAAAAGAAATTTTGATCCTGGGAATATGAGAGACACGAAAGAAACCTTCTTCTTCTAAACATAATTTAGCTAAGAGGAATTACTATTGATATATGGAATGTGTCGTTTTTATTGATGTGAATCGCAATATTCTCTTTAAGATGTGTCTGAAACTTAGCATTTAGTATTTCAATAGTGGTAAAAGATATGAATTCAACTAGTATTTTACACTTCTTATGAGAAAACCAAAACTTTACTTATAATTGTAACCTCAAAGAAACATTGTGGTTCTTGATTTCTGTTATAATAACTGAAAAAAATCACATGTTTGAAGGTTTCATAGATTTATTGAATATATATATATATATATATATATATATATATATATATATAAAATACGAACAAAGATACACAAGCGTACAGGCTACTTGATGAATATTTACTTTCATTTCGCCAAAATAATAATGATATTTATACAATAGATATGTATGCATTATATATATATATATATATATATATATATATATATATATAGTCATATTTCGTGTATTTATTTGTTCGCTAGTAAAAACGTATAATCCATTTCCGAAATATGCTGCATTCTTAGACCTGGTATTGTATAACCAATTGGACTCTGAATCTCTGTTCACGAAATTGGGTTCTAGCAAACTTGATGTAATAAATCGAAAAATGTTTTATTAATTTTCTTATTCATGGTGGGGGAATCTTGCTCATCGGCACAATATTACTTTTAAAGTAGAAGGGTATATCATATATTGCTTTATGTAAATGTGGAGTAACAACATCATGGTTGTGGATTTCCATATAGAAAAAATGCATATAGCCTATCTGACATAATATAGTCTCACAAGTTATAGGTCTCGAACGTGAACCATTAGAGATCCAACAGAATCTAATAT